GGCAGAGGACACTCACTGCCTCCCATGCAGGCTGGGTTTGGCACGACTCTTCCTGATTGATAGGCCTTTCAGGAAACAAAAACCACAAGAGAATTCAACATGCTCCTGGCTTGGGGCCAAGCCAGCCTCCTCTCCTATGCTTTGTCGAGTGTGTCTTTTTGTCTGCCTTCACCACTCGCAGGTGCCTCTGCCTGTGTTTGCGGTGTGTGTGCATGTGTGCCCTCACACACATGCTCACACACCCTGCTTTCTCCGAGCCCGGCTCTCCCGGGGGGCAGGAAGGAGCAAAGGATCTGCTACAGCTTCCCCATGGACCTTTATCCCTCAGCCCCTTGACTTGGAAGCCAATGTCGGGAATTTTTTGCCAAGCTCAGAGACAGACTAGGGCCTTCTCAAGGTCACACAGCAGGCCGAGGGCAAGGCTGCCGGTGAGGCCAGTTCTCCCCCTTTTCCTGCTCCAGCTACACGGGACCGCGGGGGGCGTCCTGGCCCACAAACTGCCGCCCCAGCTTGGAACTTCCATCCTTTGTCCCCTTCCCCTGCCACGCTCACCTGGGGAATTCCTTCTAGTGTCACCAAAGAAGCCCTTTGGGGAAGTGACAGAATTTCTTGGAAAGGGAACCAAAGTTTAGAGCTCTAGGGGCAAACAGCAACCAGGAGAACCTGGGGGCTTCTGGGGGTTGGGGGAGCAGGACTGCGGGAGGTCACACAGTGTGGGAACAGGCAGGCCAGACAGCTGGAAACATAAAGTGCCAAATCAGAGCTGCCCCCCCACCCCCCACCCACCTCCAGGCTCCTTCCAGGCACCGAGCCCATCCACACCTGCGGGGACAACCCCTCCAGTGTCGGGGCTGAAGCCCTGGGCACCCAGGTTCCAAGTTCTAAGTAGGCTGGATTCCCAAGTACTGGGTCGCTCAATGTGAAGGGTCTCGAGGCTGGGAGGGGGTCGCACAGACAGAGCCGGGACTTTCTTCCCATGGCTGGGCCACGCCGGGCTCAGTGCTGCCCTCCCGCGGCCGTGGATGGAGGCTGCCATGCTCCTGGTTCCCAGGCCCTATCTGAATCCATCTTCCCAGCCGGGGAATCAGGGCCACCCCAGGACAGGGCCTGGTGGCTGTGGCATTTGCCTCTGATCTCCGCTGGCCCAGCATGTGTCAGGCGGAGGATGAAGAATGGGCCCGCCACTGCCGCCCCAGAGGCCTCTGCTGAATTGCAGTTCAGAGCTCAGCTGCCTGGGGCTGCAGATCGGCAGGGAGGCCATTAATCTCTCCAGCAGCAGCCCTGCCCTGAGCAAGGAGGAGCAGGGGGAGCGCTGGGGGAAGACTCAGCTCTGCTCTCTGCTCCAGGACCTCTTCAGCACTCCCTCTGAGAGAGGCAGGACCAGAGCAGATGCTCAAGGTGGGTTCTGTGGGGCACCCACTCCTCGCTCAGCCCGGCAGTTTGGGATTGCTGGAGATGAGGCGTGGGGGTCTCCCAAGGTCCCAGAGTTTCGAAAAATCAGAGGCGCAGGGCAGGGGCATCCTCACTCTAGAAAGGAGATCAACACCTGTAGGTTCCAGGGACCAGCCAGTCCAAACCTCCAGTCCCTCTGACGGGGAAACCAAGGCCAGGGAGGAGAGCTCCCCACCCCCAAGGCCACCTAGCCAGAGTGTCCAAGAGGGGATCTCCTGTCCCCCCACACACATATGTGAGCTCCCCATGCCCAAGTGGACAGAGGCTGGGGGAGATCAAGCAGGGGGCGCTCGAGCTTGGGACAGGATGACACTAACTGATGGGGTCACCACTAATACTGCCCCATCCTGACCTCATGCCCAGCTCTTCCTGTGCTCGGAGGTTGGTGGGGAAAGGCCAGGGTAGGGCAGGCTCAGGAGAAGACCCCAGGACCCTCGTGTCCAAGGCCAGTGCGTACCTTTTATGTCTTGAAATCACCCTTATGGGGGAGCTGGGGTGAGGCTACCGCCAGGGCAGGGTGCCGCCGTCTGCCCCCTCCGCAGACTGTGAAGCAGGCCAAGTTTTCTAAGGCCTTGAGTCTCCACTTCCTGTCTGTTCCCCGCCCCCCGCCTCCCATTCTCCTCAACCACCCCTACCTGGGCTCACCTAGTGGGCCAGTCACCTGCAGCTTTGCCTTCAGAACCGATTCTCCTGGGGGTGGCATTAAACACCACCAGCAGCTCATCAGTTAAGGCAGAAGCCCTGGGGCCCAGTCTCTGCTGGGCACAGCCGCCCAGACAACGAGCCAACCTCTCCCACCTGCCGCCCCACAGACGTCACTGCTCAGCGCCTCTGCCTCTCTCAGGTCCTGCTCATGACGTTGATTAGCTCCAACTATGGGGTGAGAGGCTTCGTGGTTACCCCAAGCGCCGGGAACGAAGTTCAGACCACATGATCACTGCCTTCCGGGAGAGAGGGCTTGAGACCCCCAGCCCAGAATCACCCCAGAACAGGACAAGGGATACGCCTGAGGGATGTGTAAACAGATTGAGAGGAGTTCGAAGCTTTCCCCCCTCCCCCCACCGAAACCCAGGGCACGGGGCAGACCTTTCAGAGGGCCCTAATGTTGGCAAAGAGCCCCAGGGCCTAGAAAGAGGAGTTGAAAACGCTAAATGGGAAGGAGCTTTAAGACTAAGACGCATGCTCTCTCTGGTGGTGATAATGGAAATTGCATCCCCTCAGACGAGGGTTTGTTGAGTTGGGTGATGGGGAGTCATTCATCCAATCATTCCCAGGCTTGGTTGTTCTTTGTGACCCAATTTGTGTCCGAGTTGTGGAAAATCCCAGAGTGAAGTGAAAGCTCAGTAGTTCCCAGTGCATGTGACCTCTGTGGAGAGGGAAGGGAAAATTTTCAGGAAGGCCTTGTACCACAAATAGGTCACAGACCTCAGAATGGCACTTAGCTCCATGGTTCTCAGCCCTGGCTACTCTCCGGGGCCACCTGGGTGCTTGTTAAGCCTCAGCTTTCGTGGGCTCCACCCCAAGAGTCATAGTTAATAGGATCAGAGGGAATGCTGGGTGTCTGGTGGTCCAAACAGCACCCTGGGTTCTCTGGGGTCTATAATCTGGGACCCAAAGGAGCCTCACATCTGACAAGGATGAAGGGTGTACAGCAGGGGTGGAGAGCAGAGTGGTTCCCCTGGGACCATCCTCCCTGTGGAGCAGCTAGAATGCCCCTCCTAGCTGGCCCCCTCGGAGGTCTGTGTATAGAACATTCTAGAAGTATGACTCCTCTCCACTGCACTGGACCACAGACCTGCAACATCCCCTCCTCTTGTCTGTCTTGCTGTTATACCCAAGAAGCTTCAGGAGCAAACTCCCAGGAAAGTGTCCCTGGCTGGATGCACCCCATTCCGTTTCATCTCTCCCACCATCGTGGACAGGACAAGTACACGCTCCAGCTTGTGTATGGAAATACTGAATTCTATTTAGGGGTGCAGCCTGTCACATTTTATGTGTCTTTGGGGAGCCCACGTTTGGAGCAAGGGGTTGCAAAGACCTTGGCCTCGAGGTGTAAGTAGCCAGGCCCTCTATCTCTTCCCTCTGCTTTCTAAGCCCACAGGGGGTCAGTGGGGAATCTATCTGCCACCCCCAGGTGTCAGTGAGAAGAATGCTAGAATGGGAGCCAGAGACCTGGTTTCTAGCTCTGGCCCTGATACGGGCTGGCTGTGTCACCTGGACAAGTCCCTGCCTTTCCCAGGGTCTCAGTTTCCCTTTCTGAGAAGTGAATCTTAACTATTTTGCTCCCTAAGGACCTTCTGTGTTCAAGCCTTCTGTGATTCTGTGAGGGCTGGCTATCTTCGGGATCTAGGGGCAGTGGATTTAGACAAAGAACTGAATTTGCACGTGGAAATTTGCACGTGGTGGCCTGTTGGCCCCCCAACATACCCTATTCGTTTTAAATTTAAAAATCTTTTAAAAATGTTTATTTTGCCCAATGTTTAAATGCCCAACGCGAGGCTTGAACTCATGACCCCCCTGTTCATGGTAAACTCCACTAACTTGAGGCTGCCCGGGTTCTCCTGCCAAGCTCTCCTCTCCCCTCCCTGGCAGGCTTACAGACCCAGAAAATGGACACTAGGTGGTGCCATGATCCAGCCACCCATCCTTTCCTCAGGGAAGAGCCGCATAGGGAAGGTGGGCTCCTTCTGAGTCCAGCACCGCAAGGGGGCCACAGGCTTCAGGAAGTCAGGCTCTGGTCTGAGAGGCAGCCTGACACCATCGTGGTTCCAGCTGCCTGTGGCTGGGTGCCTGCCAGAGTGGACAGGGCTGGAGGAGAGGGTACGCAGGGTACCCAGGTCCTCACCCTCCCTGTCCACTCCCTGGCCCTGGGATTAACCAAGGCAGCACACAGATGGGTGGAGGAGAACAGGTGCAACGGGGGTCCCCAAGCCCCAAGAGTGGAAAGGCAGTGGCCTGAGCTTAGCACCAGGGTCAGGAGATGGGTAGGGAGAGAGCGTGTGCCGAGGCGCCCACCAGCGCCCCCAGACCCACCCATCTTGGCACGCGGGTGCTCAGGGGAGGTGGTATCCTGGGGTCACACACAGCTATAACTTCGGCTGCTCAGGGCGCAAGTGCAGGAACTCCCAGCAGAGAGCTCCAGTAGCAGCACCTGGGCCCTGCGCAGATAACTGAGCAGCACCCAATTGTCATTGACCTTCACACTTCCTGGCTTTCCCTCTGCCTGGCGTTCGGAAGGCAGGCTGAGTCCTCTGTCCTTGGGGCTCCTCACAATTCAGGGGGCAGGCAGAAGCCTGCGGATGGTGGTACTGAACTCCCTGTCCAAGGAGGCAAGGGCACCTGAGCAGCTCATTGAAAACCAAGAGACCAGACTGTATTGTACTCCAGCTCGGAAAGGCGAGACGGTCATGGCAGGTACAGGAGCGGAGGGAGGGAGGGAGGGAGACAGGCCAGGGAAGGATCTGTCTCTGAGGCTAGCTTTATTATTAACATGAGGCGGCCTGGGGTGGGAGGAGGCCATGCAAACCCAGGGGTCAAATGGAGCTTCAGCCTGAGGGCCTGGCAGTGCTGGGGACAAAGGTCTACAGCTCAGGGAAGGCTTCCCAAGGTCCCCCCTGCAGCAGGAACACAGCTGACTCTGCAAAGACAAAGACAGGTTCTAGGTAGCAATGGCGGCAGGAGTAGGGATTTTTCTTTTATTCCTTATTCATTTCACTTTTCTCTTTGCCTCTCTGCCTTGGCCACACACACCACACCAGGCACTCGGCCATCAATGGAAAAACCAAAGTGGGTAGCAGACCAACTGGCTGGTGGCCAGTAGACCCTGAAATCCTCCCCCCTCCGTCCCAAGCTCTCCCTGATTTCTCCAGGGCCCTCCCTGGCTCCCTGCTCACCTGTTCCTCCCCAACTTACCCGTCATTACAGATCGTCACCATTGACTTGCCTGGGGTCGGGGAGGGGAAAAGAGAAGGAAGAGGGGAAAAGAGAGGGAAGAGGTCAGAGGAGGAGGTCACCAGTCTCAAGGTCCCTGAGGTCAGGGACCCCTCCTCACAGGCTTTGGAGATGAAAATCCTTGGCCTGTGCCTCTTTTCCCCCCAGTGTCCCCACCCCATTCAGGGACCCCAGGCCGGCACTCACCGGTGCTTCTTTTTGCCCCCACAGCGGAATCTTTTGCCTTGAAGAGAGAAAGGAGATGAGTTTCCATCAACCTCTTGCTTCCAGGGAGAGCGTCTCTGCCCTGAAGGGGGCAGCACGTAGCCTCTACTCCCTCCTTCCCACCGAGCCACAGGGGACCATTTCTGTCCTTATACAGGGCTGGACCATAAGCATTCTGTTAGTCCATCTGTTAGTCAGTCAACAAACATTTGCTGCAGCCGCTCCATGGTAGACTGTGAGCTCACCGAGAGCAGTGGCCAAGCCTGGGCCATGGTGGGGCTCCTGGCACAGGGCCGGGCACACAGTAGCTGCTCCATATGCTCTTGGAGGAGGAGGAACTGCAAGTCCAGAGCCAAGATCTCTGCTCAGGCCTGTCTGCCTCCTGCACTTGTGTGCTCGACCTCGACACAGTGCTGCCCGCAAGACACTTCCTGCTGAGCTGGGGAGAGCGGCCGTGTCTGCAGACAGAAGCCCCCTGATGGAATGGCCCCAACCATGGAGGCGTTAGAATCTCAGGATTGTGTTTCTGTGTACTTTTCTTCTGGTTGTACCAAACCAAGTCAATAAGCATTCACTAAGCCCCTGCTGTGTACTGGCTGGGACTGGGGGATACGCAAGGAAGCTTCTCTCCAGAACACTCTAGGCCTATACCTGAGTGCTTCCTTGGCTGCCGTGCAGCCCAAACTTTATGAGGTAAGTTGGATCATCCCTATTTAACAGATGAGCAAACAAGCCCAGGGAGTTAGGGATCCGCACCCAGTAAACTAGCTGTGGGCTCAAGTGCCTCTGGCTCCCAGCCACACTTGCTCTCCAACAGTCTGTGGGGTGGACACCCTGGGTTCAGCTGAACTCGGCTCTGCTTCTGGTTGGCTGTGGAACCCTGGGCAATTGGCTGCACCTGTCACGATGGGTAGCTTTCCCTCTGTAAAATGGGACAGTAGTGGCCATCCCTCTGAGATGTTGCTCACACCAAGAAAGGAGAGTGCCCAGATCTGGCCAAGGGAGGTATCCTGTGGGGATTGGTTCCCTTCCCTGGCTTGAGCCCCGTGTACACTGGAGGGTCCCCGGCTGGACGCAGCCCCCTCTCCCCTCTCAGCACCTCCTCCCAGGGCCGCCAGAGGGTGCACTGGAGGGAAAGGAAACTTCCTTTGTGTGACCCAAGGACCAGGCAGGGAGGCGTCCCATGAAGCTTGTGTCCATCAGAGTGTGGGTCAGTTCCCACATCTTGCATGGGGGAATGGAGGGGAGCAGAGAGACTCACTTCCCTTCTGGGATCTGGGAAGAGGGTGAGAGGGCTTTCCCCCACCCCCACCTGGGGAACCCCTGATCAGTGGCTTTGAGAAGAGATATGGCCCCGTGCAGCAGTCCCTTCCGACAGCCCACTTACTGAGGATGATAATGAGCCCCACGACGAAGGCCAGGGCAGCAAAGATGAGGCCCCCATTGCGGACAGTCTCATAGTCTGAGAAAGGAGAGGGCAAGGAGGTGGGATGGGTCTACCCAGGCACCCCTCCCACAACCCACGCCTGCAGCAGCCCCAGGCTACCAGGGGAAGATGGTGGCCGTAACCAGGGGATGCCAGGAAGCAGGGTCTGTGGGGGATAGCAGGCTCAGGAAGGGTGGGGAAGGGGACCCACGAGGCTTACCATAGTAGAATGGGTCCACTTCCCCCTTGGGGCTGCCACCTGAGGACAGAGCCAGAGGCAGGGTGAACCAGCCACAGAAACAGTGGAACTCCCATCCTTCCCTCCCAGCCTCCCCAAGGGTCTAAGTGGGCAAGAGGAGGCTGGTGGGCCTGCTAAGGCCACCGCCAGTGGGGGCATCTGTCCTGGGCCACCTCGAAAACCGTCCACTTGGGACCAAAGACCAAGCATCCAAACAGGGTGCTGTGCTGCCTGGGGGGGCCTCCAGCAACTCTGGGAGGGCTGGATCTTTCCTCCCCTTGCTTCCTGCAACTGTAAGCCAGGCCATGGGAGACATTTCCCATGGAACTCATCGTTAGCCTCCCTCCACAGGACTAATCCACGGCAAGATGTGTCGCAAATGCTTGTGGAATGAGTGAACGGAGGGGTCCTTCACTTCCACTGAACAGAAGGAGAAAACAACCTGTTTAAAGTCCCCCATGAGAGCTGGGGGCAGAACTGGGTCTTGGACTCCGGTTTCTGGATTCTTCTCTCTTAGGTTTCCATCCTCAAGGGGAAGCAAATTCTTTTAAGAAACATTAATATAGGGGCACCTGGGTGGCTCAGTGGCTTAAAGCCTCTGCCTTCAGCTCAGGTCATGATCTCAGGATCCTGGGATCAAGCCCCGCATTGGGCTCTCTGCTCAGCAGGGAGCCTGCTTCCTCCTCTCTCTCTCTCTCTCTCTCTCTCTCTGCCTGCCTCTCTGCCTACTTGTGATCTCTGTCAAGTAAATAAATAAAACCTTTAAAAAAAATTAATATATAGTGTTTTCCACGTGCTAGGGGAAGGCTAACAAAACGTGAGCTCATTTTACCGTCATAAGCACCCGTGAAGCACTGATATGATTCCAATACAATCCCTAGAAGCTGGAGGCACAGAGAGGTTAAGTAATGACCTCACAGTAACACAGCATAAAGGGGAGAGCTAGGATTTGAACCCAGGCAATAGGCTGCTAAGAATCTAGGTACCTAACCCCTTTGCTACATTGCCTCTCAGATGGTCAGAAGGCACAAAACATTTCAAGGCCACATATGGCCCAGTCCCCTGCCTCCTGTGCCATTAGTCCACCCAAGCTGGAGCTGCTCAGCACCAGAGGTCACAGCTCTGCCATTCAGCCCCGGAAACTGAGCACACTGGCTTTTGGGTAGCCCGAGGGTGCCTGGCCAGGGCTTTGCTGCCATGGTGGAGGGTGGCCCCCCTTGCCTACCCTGCTCAAGCCCCACCTTGGCACCAAGGAGGCAGTGTCTGAGGTAGAAGTCAGCACCTCCCAGGTTGTGCTGAACCATGCCCTGCGGGGTGGGGGACCTGGGGACCCAGTTGTCCCCAGTGCGGCCTCCCTGGCCAGAAGGGGCCAATGCTTGGGCCTCTAGGGGGGACTATGGGGACCCAGGACCTGTCACCATGCGGGAGCCCATCAACCTTGTCTCCCGGATTCGGTTCAGGTCTTGTTCAAGGTGACAGGGGAGTTAGCCCCAGAGCCATGAGTAGACAGGTGGCTCCCGTCACTGAGAAACCGCCTCCTCCCTCATCCCTTGTCTTGAACCATTCCCCGCCCAAAGCCCTCATCTTTTCTAGGTCCAGCTCAAAGCCCACCACAGTCAACAGAGGCCCCTGTTGGCCTCCAGGCCCAAATCACCCCCATCACGGGATCTTTCTGGGGGTGTCCCACACTGCAGGGCTCTGGCCCCAAAGCGAGCCTAACTCCCTTCCCCTCCTGCTCTGAGCTCAGGTAGTTTGGAAAGATACACTGACCTAGGACAGGTGCAAGTCCTATCGTCAAGAGGAGAGCTCATCCCTGCCCCAGCTCTAACCTGGCACCCCAGGTCCTGCCATTCAAGCTATATTCCTTCAGACTTAGCACAGCATGCCCTTTGCAAAGTAATTGTTTTTGAAATTGTCTAAAGAGGCTGGCAAGTTTGGGGGAGGGGTGCTGGGGTCTCTGGAAGGCAGGGGTTCCAGGGGTCCAGCTCATCCCTCCAAAAGTGGTCCAAGGAGAGGCCACCGCCTGCTTCACGCACGTACACGCACACTCACCGTCGCCCGTCGCGGACCCTGCCATTCCCCTAGCAGACTGGGCTGGTCCCTCTCCTGCTCTGCTCTGGGGAGAGTGCCGGGCAGCGGGGAGACCAGGGGTGAGGTGGGGGGGGATTAAACATTAACAGTGCAGGTAATATTTGCCCGAGTCACAAGAGAAGCCCCAGGGTGAGTGGAGGGGCTCCCTCGGAGGCAGGAAGAGGTGCGGGGACAGGCAGGGGCAGGGAGGAGCGAGCCAAATCCCTCCCGAAGGAAATTTCCAGAGAAGGGTTGGGGACCGGTAGGCCAGTGTTCTTCATCTAGCCAGAGAAGCTTTGGCTGGGGCTGGGGCACTGGGGGGGCGTGGGACTTTCAAAATATAGTCAGTGTCCACCAGAGCTTAAGGGGCCACATCGGGGGTCCAGAGACACCCCCACCCCAGCAGCTGCCCACCTCCCAGACCGCTGAGGAGACAAGGGCTTCAGCAGCTACTTCTGACCTGGCGCCCAGGGCTTCCCTGAGACCGTCCCCAGGCGCCTGGCCCGCTCCCACCTCACCACCCACCCCAGCCCACCATGGCTGCTGCTGTCCAGGCTTCCAGGGCTAAGCCACACCCTTCCTGCTGTTTCCTTCACCCCTCGGGGCTGCAGCCTGCAGCTCACATGCTGCTGTCACAAAGGCTCCAGTCATCCTTAACTAATCCCTCTCTCCCTGCCGCCTCTGGTATTTTCCTTCCACAGGCTGGTGGCTCCCATGCCGGGTTCCCAGGTTTCCCAGTGTTGTCCCATCGGCTCCTTCAGGAAGGGGCTGAGTCGACCACCTGGAGAAGGGCTTGCTTTTCGGACACACAAAGCACTTTCCTACCTAGTATCCCTTTGTGCCTTGTGTTATTTCCCATTTTACAGATGAGGCAGCTCCGAGTCACAGAGCCAGTGAGGGGCGTGTTGGAGGACGCACAGGCAGGCCTTGGGCATCAGGTGCTTTCCCACACCTCCGAGGTGGCCTCCCGGCTCTGCGGTGGCCTCTTTCACCTTGGAGACCCCTGGGCTGGGTACTCCATGAGGGCTTGCATTCCTGGCTGAGTTCTCGTCCATCGAACTGGCCTCCAGAACAGGCCAACGCTCAGTGGTAGCCACGGGCCAAAGCCAGCCGTCAGCGTCCACCGAGGACGGGCTGGTCCTGCCGAAGGGACCTAATCCATCTGTTACTCCCCCTGGGGTGGTTGCAGGGGAGCAAGGTTTGAGTTCATTTCCTGGCCCCTCCATCTGCTAAGTAAATGGCCTCTGCCCAGTTACTGAACCTCTCTGTGCCTCGGTCTTCTCGTCTGTGAAATGGGAGTACTCCCTGCCTCAGGGAGTTGTCATGCGGAGAAGGCAGATAAAGCTTGTGAAGAGCAGGGCACACAGCCTGGGACACAGCTAGTGTCACTGTTGTCACTGTCGTATTTGTGCTCACCAGAAAATAAAGGGTGCTCAGCTTCAGTTGAACATCAACCGTTGGATGCAGGAAAGCCAACCCCCTCCAGCGAAAATCAGCACATGGGGGGGGTGTGAGGTAGAGAGAGAACATCACGGCTGCGACCAGGAGCCTTGACACCCATTCTGCTCTCTGCTTTCAGAGCTGAGCGATGAATATTCATGAGAATGATACAGCCCAGCTAATGCTTAGTAGGGGCTGACCCTGTGTCAGGCTCTTTACTTATTTATTTATTTTTAAAAAGATTTTATTTATTTGTTTGACAGAGATCACAAGTAGGCAGAGAGGCAGGCAGAGAGAGAGGAGGAAGCGGCTCCCCTCTGAGCAGAGAGCCCGATGCGGGGCTCAATCCCAGGATCATGACCTGAGCCGAAGGCAGAGGCTTTAACCCACTGAGCCACCCAGGCACCCCTCTTTACTTATTTTTAAGATTTATTTTGAGAGAGAGAGAGAGAGAGAGAGCGAGAGCAAGGAAGCAAGTGTGCCTGAGTCAGAGGGAGAGGGAGAGAGAATTCCCAGCAGACTCCCCGTGAGCACGGAGTCCATGTGGGGCTAGATCCCACAGCCCCGAGATCACAACCCGAGCCGAAACCAAGGTCAGATGCTTCACCGACGGCACCACCCAGGGGCCCCTTGTCAGACTCTCGATAGGCACTGCCCCGCTGGACCCGTGTTCATTCCATTCTACAGATGAAGAAGCGGAGGCTGATCATTTGCTCCCCGCAACGACTGCTGGGGGCGGCCAGGGCAGGGCCAGGAGGTCCACTGGGCAGACCAAAAAGACCGAGGGCAAGGAGCTCGAGGGATTGGCCTGCAACATCCTGATAGTGACAAAACCAGGTCTAGAAATCCAGACCCCCAAGGCTGTTGCTCCCAAAGCTACTGTCGCTCTCCACACAGGACGCCGGGTGCCTGTTACTACACGTTCTCTCGGTAGCTTAGTGCCTTTGTCTGTCTTTGTAAGCTACTGCAGATTCTATGTGCAATAATGGATATAAAAATGGGTGGAAAGGTTGGATAGATAGATGGATAGACAGATGGATGGAGGGAGGAAAGGAAGGTGAGAGGCAGAGATAGTGGCAGAAATAGGAAAAACAAGTTGTTACCTGCATTTTTAACACTACATGCGAGGCCCTGTTCTGAGCACCTAATAAGAATTAAGCCATGTAGGGCCACCTGGGTGGCTCAGCTGGTCAAGTGGCTGCCTTCAGCTCAGGTTATGATCCCAGGGTCTTGGGATAGAACCCCATGTCAGGCTTCCTGCTCAGTGGGGAGCCTGCTTCTCTCTCGCTCTGCCTGTGTGTGTCAAATAAATAAATAAAATCTTAAAAAAAAAAAAAAGAATTAAGCCATGTAATCATCACAATAGCCCTGAGGTAAGGAAGCCCTCATCAGCATCCCCATTTCATAGATGAGGACACTGAGGCAGAGTCAGGTAAACAAGATTTGAACCCAGCAGCCTGGCTTTAGAATTCCTACAGATGGACAGGTGGCTAGACGGACAGACAGAAAAGGAGGCTGTTGGACAAACAGTCTTCCTAGTTCCTGCAGCTCCGAGATGCTCGGGGCAGAGATTCCCCCCACACCCAGGACTCTACCTTGAGATGCCCTTGTTTAGAAATCCTGCCTGTCCTGGCTTCCGCTTTCCCTGCCCTTTGGGGGAGCAGGTGGCTGCACCCGAAAGTGAGAAGGGGGACACCTGTGTCCGAGTCTGAGTAGGCGGGAGGCAGGAGGTTCAGGGAACTCACCCAGGTACCACCTGTCCATGGCAGGAGCCTCAGGTGTGTCCTTGGTGGCAGAGAGCAGCGAGGCGCTGGTTGCCGAGGGCCTGGCTGGAAAGTGTGGCCCTCCCTCCCTCCCTCCACACCTCATCGGGGCCCCTGGGCAGGAAGAGACAGAGTCGGGGAGGAGGGGCTGGCGAGGGAGCCCACACCTTGTGCCTGCCTGCCAGCGGGGACGGGCTGGGGCCAGGGATCCCAGCCAGAGAGTCTCTGACTTCCCGGAGGAAGGGAGAAGCTGGGAGCCACAGCCACTGGCCCCTCTCCCCTTACAGGAGAGACGCCGCAGCCGGCGCCCTCCAGGAAGCCCAGGGTGCCTGCCAAGGTCACCCTAGCAGTGACTGAGGGATACTCCGAGGGCCATTTGTGGGCCCCCCAAGACTTTCCTCAGCTGTACCTCCACCCTCCAGCCCACTGGGCCTCCGCCCGGATCGATCCTACCCCCGGGTCTCATCCTCAGCTGGGCGCCTCCTGAGATAGGTCAGAAAGGCCACAGCCCTGGGCAGCAGCCCCTGGGCGAGGCGGGGGTCTTTTCAAGGCCCCCGCCCAGAGCCTGAGCCTCCAGCTGCAGCTAGTAGGGCCGAGATGGGAAGCAGCTGGGGGCCGGGAGGGGGCGCTGGTGTGGAGCGGCTCCATGGCAACCAACCCAGTCTCACCTGGGACCCTCCCAGGGCCGCCCCCAGTGACTTACCGCAGGCTGTGATGTCAGACTGCCCGCCACACCCCAGCGGCCCAGCCGGAGATAGTAGCAGCCTAACGAGGCCCCTGAGGGCGGCTGGTCTGTGCCAGAGGGGGCATGGCCGGAAGAGGCCAAGTCTCTGTTCCCCCGCACTTGGGCCTCTGGTGGCCTGGAGCAAGGTGGCCGCAAGCAGGCTGGGTATGGCTCACTCTGGGCCCAGGACCTCCCTCGGTGACTTGGGGGCCACCCTGCTCAGCCACCCCGGAAGGCACACTGAAAAGCAGGGTTTGGGAGGTGCTGGTTCTGGCCCCCATCTCTGCCCACACAACCCCCCCGCCCCGTTCCAGCCAGAGAGAGGACAACTTGCCTCCTTAGAGGCAATCTCCTGCCCCCGGGGCGGGGGGTGGGGGAGGGAATGACTAATTACCCCACAGAGAGCCACCTCCTGGCTGGAAGACTCTGGAAATGGAGAAGGGCAGGCCTGGGAGGGGCGTGATCTGGAGGGGCTGAGGTCTGTCCCAAGGACACCGAGGGTCCTGCCTGCTGGCCGAGCTGCTCCCGTGACCCAGCCTTGCCACATGTTCCCAAGTGGAAACCTTCATGTCCTAGACAGCTCAGGGCTGCCGAGCTGAAATTCTCCAAGCCAGGCACTTGGAGAGATCTGGAAATCTCGGGGCTAGATGACACTTGAAGAAGTTACCTGGTCCAAACGTGTCAGTGATTTAGAAGCGTGAGGATCTCAGCCACAGCCTTTTCACACCCTCCCGCAAACACACACATACACACGTAGTGTGTCCCCTACCAGCCCCTAATGCTGCAAAGGAAGGCATCTTGATCCCAAATGGAGACCCTGTGTCATGGACTGGCTAACTAGAAAGGGCATCCAAAGTCATCCTACCCATCCCTGTCTCTATAAAGGGCTCCCTCTTCTGCTCCAACCCTTTGAGGGCTCAAGTGTAAACCATCCTATACTGGCCCCAATGACATCTTTGACCTTGTCTCCAACTTTCCTGTCCCTTCTCTCCACTCCAGCCATACTGATCTCCTTGATGCTCTTCTAACCCTCCAGGCATGCTCCTGCCTCAGGACCTTTGCACTAGCTCTTCCCTCTTCCTGAACATTCTTCCTCCAGAGAGCTTCCTGGCTAACTCCGCTCATGCCTCTCTTCATTGATTGACTCAGAAGACCCTTCCTGGCACCCCCAGTCTAAATTGTTCACACCCACTCTGCAATGTCTCAAATCCCTTCTTAGTTTGTTGTGTTTTGGTTTGTTTTCTCCAGGAAAGCAAGGATTTTTGCTGTGTTCATTCTTAGATTCCCAGTGCCTAGAACAGAAACTGGCACATGGTGGACCCCTAGTTCTGTTAAGCAAATGAATGCATTCTGGAGGTGAAATCATTTCTCTAGTGGCACGGGAGGCCCAGGACCTGCCTAACGCAGACTCTTCCCCTGAAATCCCGTCCTAGAACAGGTAGCAGGAACTAGTTTGCCCCCACGGAGACAGAGTGGGTGGTCGGCAACGGATCCCCCAGAGTCCTTCTTGGGGAGTTCCCCCTCCCCATCCTCTATTCCCCCCAGCATTTTATCCGAAGACCTGAAGCGATTTTTATGAAAGCTTCTATTTCTCCTTTCAGGGGAAGCCCGGAACTAAGAGTCAAGGAGGTCTACTCTCTCTTGTTCACGCCCAAGTCCTCCCTCAGACTTTTTCATGTCCACCTCCAGCTGAGGTCATTGGCCTGGCTGACGCTGGGGACAAGGGAGCCCTCCTTCAGCCCATGGCCCACGATGCCCAGCGCACCACCCAGGAGAGCCTCTCCTCCTACGGGTCCCTCCACGCAAGAACCGCCCCGTGGGACAGACGCGCCCCGAGTAAGCTGCTTTGCATCCCGACTCTTTGCTGTAGACACTGCGATGCTGGGGAAGGTCACTTCTCCAGGTCTCCTTCTCCCACGTATACAGTGGGTTGAAGCACCTACCTTGAGTGGTTCTTGTAGGAATTGAGATGACGTGGGTAAAAGCCTGGCCAGAGAAGGTCCTCATGAATGTGGACTTCACTCTCCTCCCCGGAGATGACCGTCTAGGAGGCAAGGACCCTCACTGCAGTCCCTTCCCTGGGCCCAGACCCTTGCCAAGGTGTCTCAGAGGCAGTTCCCAGAGCACCCTCCCCTCCCGACCCTCAGCACGATCTCTGTTGGTCTACCACCCACCCCGCACCCCCAACCTTCCTCTCCTCCCCACACCTGCACAGCACCGCTGGCTGCTGCTGGGGTCCGGATGTGCTGCTTCTTTCAGTCTTTCTCAGGATATGGGGCCAAGTGGGGTGGGAGTGCTCCTCTGTTGTCTCAGAAAGGCTCTAGGGCAGGCAAAGACACCCCAACCCCTGTGCCCTCCCTTTGTCTGATTATTCTAGGCTGGAGCCAAAGAGGACCACCCAGCCATACTCTGCTTTCCTCCCCAGACCCACAGATCAAGGAGACCTTTGGGAGGTATGGAGAGGTAGCCCCAAGTCCTGGTCCCTCTTCCAGCATGGTCATACCCAGTGGGACAATATCCTTGGTCACCATGCCTCAGCCCCCCTGCATCTTCCCCAAGCAGTGTTCCAACTGTCCCCTGACTCTTCAGTCTCAGGGCAAAGGTCTGGGTGGTCACTTTTGGGCTGCTGGGATGGGAGGGCGGCATCCTGGAACGTCAGCTGAGCACCATCCGCCTGGTGCTCAAAAACTAGCCAAGAGGCAAAGGCCTGCACCACCAGCCTTCCCAGGAGGAATGTTCCAGCTCTGCCACCCCTGCGTGTCTGGGGCCGCACATCAAAGCGCATGGCCTCGGAGTCCAGACCCCCTGCAATGCTCCCGGTGTTGGCTTGCAGCTGGGAAGAAGCCAGAAGCCCCTAGAAAGCCCTGCATCCTGGCTGGGGTTGGTCTGCGGCTGCTGGCATGCGTGGCCCTGCAGTCTCAGCGGGGAAGGTGGCAGCCGCCTGGCCCCATCGGTGCTGCCCAGAGGTCCTGAACCCCAAGGAGCGTTGGTGCCTGTCTCCTGCTGTCGCTGCCAATGCCAGGGTCACTGGGGTCTTATAAGGCGAGGCCAAGGGAGGTGGGTCCTGGAGGGTCCATTCCTTAAGTGTTGGCTTTAAGATGACCCGAGTCGTGGGGCACACAGGTCCTGGGAGTTGCCAAAGGGCAATGTACTATGAGAGTCAAGGTCACTGAGGCTTTCTGCTCCCTGAGCTGGCAGAGATGCAGACGTCCTCTTCTGTTTCTACAGCTGCTGGCAAGGGCGAACCTGTTTGACCCACCTCTCCCACAGTGAATACCCTGGAGAGAAATGCATTCTTGACTTTTCTCGGAACTCACGTCTGAGCTTGAACTAGAATAGGGGTTATTCTCTCCAGTGGTGGTCCTTGACCTCCTAGTACTCACGTCCCCCCTTATCTCTGAAAAGCAGCTCCAGGCCCACCCTCTCTGCTCCTGCCCTTCCTCTGTGACCTTCTGGATTATCCTGGTGTGGCCCAAATGACCACCTCTGGCTTTGTACCCGTCTTTGTCATTTATTTCACAGATGGCCAAGTCTGGCCTATTAAATGGCTGTGTCTTCTCAAAGTCCGGTGCCCAGAAATCCTCACTTGGTAACAATCCCATCCACTTCATGGTTCTCGAGGGTTCCAAAAGAGCTTTGGCTTCCTTGAGCTGCTTCGTTCCTTCCAGTGACTCAACCAAGCTGGTGTTGTGCTAACCGTCTTCCAGAGGAGGAAATTGCACTGTAATGTAGGTGAGGCAGAACTCGAACCCAGGTCTGACAGACAGAAGGGGCACCCTGCTACCACAGAAAGGATGCATAAGGAAATGAATGGTAATATAAATATTAATAATATACCATCTGCATGTCGTATATGTGTATAAGTGTCAGTGTTTTATGTACATTGTATCACTTTGACCTTGTGAGGGAACAGGAACGTTATTGATGGACCCATTGCACGGGGAAGGAAACTGAGGCTTAAGTGGCATTCCTAGGGTTTCAATGGCACCCAGCACACCCTATTGCTAGGAAGGACAATGTTTTGCAAAGAAAGTGACAGAGATGCTGGAGTATGCCTGAGCTCACTCAGCTAGTGAGGAGAGGGGGAGACCAGGAATATCCTTAGGCTCCTTCTCCTCCACTGGCCTGCCTTCGAGCCTGGCTCAGAGGCAGGAGCCCACTCCTCCGGACAGTGCAGGGGGCCCTCCCCCTACCAGCCCCTACCAGCCCAAGCCTCCCATGACATCCAATCCAGCATCACCTGCCCAGTCATCGCTGCCTTGGCAGGTGCCCCATTACTGTGCAAGCGGGCACAGGGCTGGGGCTGGCTCCATAAAATCAGCAGCCGTTGGCTTGAGCTGGCTGATTCTGCCCCCTGGAGTGTAGCTGTGACAGCAATGAATCACACTAATGGTGAGAGGTGGCATTCTTCCTCTTTGTGGCCTGGAGATAGGCATTTCCAAGTTCCTCCCCTGGCTCAGGCAAACACACCTGATCTCTCTCTCTCTCCCCCTCTGGACCCAGAGTGAGGCAGAGCAGCCAAGGACAAGGTGGGGTGAACCAGATAGAGCTGGACAATCCTCCCACCCTGGCTTTGCCCGGCCACCCTGCCAGCCCAAGATCACTGGGAGGCCAGAGCCCTCTTCCCCATAGGAAGGAAAGAGCCGGGTGACCTTGGCGTGTACTTCAGCCAGGCATCCCCCCCCACCCCGCCCACCCCACCCTCCCTGAAGCTTGCACTCTGCCTCTGACTCTCTTCCAAGAACAATTTGGCAAGTTCCAATCCACCACCTGCAATAAACCCAGAGCGGTGGGGAGGGCCACAGCCTGGGGGCCCAGAAGGCAGATTGACCTATTTTTATGTGGTGTTAAGTAAACACAAACACCTCCATGCAAATAGACTTGGAAATCCTTGGAGTGGAATTCATGGGGAAGGAGGCAGTAGTTGGGAGACAAAATGGCCCGGACACCTGGGATCACTGTCTGAGGCCAGGAGACTCAGCGCTCCCTTCTGGGAAGTGGCATCACATACCAGCTTTCCTACATAACCAAGTTACAGTTCCTATATCCAACCAAATTACAAAGAGCAGTCGCCTGCCAGGCCTGAAAGTCCGGTGCCCAGAAATCGACAGACAGACATGGTCTCGCCCAGCATGAAATGCTGGTCCAGAGGGAAGACACACATTAAACAGCAATCCATGCCTGGAATCTGGATTCTTCCCTGGCTCTACAACCCTAGGGGCTAGAGGGAGAGGGGCTTCCCCATTTTGTATGGGGGTGATGGGGTGGGGGAGAGGGGTTGTTCCTCAGTTTGAGCTTGGACCTGGGTAGATTCTCATGGTCCCTCTTAGCCAGGGGGTCCCATCAGCTTGAATACTTCCAGTGACAGGGAGCTCACTCCCATAGCTATGGGAACCAAGGACTGCACCACCCCCCCAACATGAGGCCAAATTCTGCCTCCTCCCATGTGCATTTGATGGGTCTATATCCTTTCCTTTCCTGTGCAGAGAGAAACAGGCTTGGAGCTGGGTGGGCCTGGGCTGGACCTTGGCTTTGTCGCGAGCAGTGCAAACTCAGGCCAGTCCCACTGAGCCATGGTTTCCTTATCTGTAAAATTGAGATACCATAAGGTAGTACAGTGAGTTTGGAATGAGTTGATCTGTGGAACATGGTCAGCCCAGGGTTTGGCACATATTAGCTGCTTTATTTAGTTATTAATACTAATATTATTTATGTAATATATTATTAATATGTTATTATATATTAATGCTAATATTATCGATCATCCGTTTCTTTGACCCTTTGTTAATGTGTCTCATTTCCAGGCCACAAGACCCAGGGCACAGTCTTGCTAGTGTATGCCCTGAAAGGATTTTTGAGACTTTTGAGCCCCTGTAATCACGGAGTTGACAATATTGAGGTAGATCTCAATGAAAAGCCTCCTTTTTTTTTCCCCCCCAAAGACCCAGGGGACAGAGGGCAGGGCAGTTGCAGAAGTAGGGAGGGCTCCTTGCATGTCCTGGGGGATAGCCGGGGGTAGCCAGAGCCCCGAGGCCCTCGGGACCTGCAGCTGCTAATTCCGAAGCTCTACACAGAGCTCTAGCTCACAGAACCTAGACAGACTCTTTGAAGATTTGGGAGTGGGGCAGGCCAGGAAGTTACATTAGAACAAGACTTAGTCCTCACCCCCTGGGAACAGTGTCTCACGATAGAAACACACAAGACGCACAGAGATAGGGGCGCACCCCGGGGCCCTCCCGGAGGGTCGGCTGGCAGCTGGGCTCATTTGACCAACAGTCCTTTCCCGAACACTGAACTGGAATGTCTTTGGGGGGACATTGTCGGTGACCTCTGGCTCCTACGAGCCTCCTCCTGTGTCACGACAGCAGATTCACCAATGGACATTATCTGCCTGGCCTCCAAGGCTTGGAGCCAACGTATGGAGTGCTTCAATGTGAGACTAAAGGCCGGAGTCCGTGTGACTGGAGCACAGAAAGGAAGGGTCTCATTCTACCTGAAGTCCAGGAAGGCTGCATAGAGGAGGTGGTATTTGGGTTTTGTGGGAGATGAAAAGGTAAGTAAGGGTCTGACCCACCCACACCCTCTTTGCCAAGTCCTTAGGTAGCAGCCCCAGAGTCAACCAAAGGAAGAGGTTAGAACCTTTGGTTCTCGGCCAGCACGCCCTCGGGGGAGCCAGCTGGACTCTTGGCTTCTGTGCAGGCCACGCATCAGGTTCAGGTCCTGCCACAGGGTGGAGCCCAGGCCCACGGACTGGGGAGCAGGGGGAGGCAGGAGGGGGAAGGAGGGGGAGAGGAAGCAGAGGAACTTAGCGTCCAAGCTGCTGGCCCACACATACCCCAACTGCCTCTTCAGCAACCATCGCTTCCCTCTGACCAAGCACAGAGTCCCCGTAGCCCTACAAGCACCCTACAAATACTCCAGCTTCTTGACACAAAGGAAAGCACTTAGAGCCACTAGGAAACAAAGGGTGTTTTATTCCTTTCTGTGGCTGAGAGGGTTAAGTCACAACAAGGAGAACAGCAGTCCCGGTCACGGCGGCGCCGGTCGGTTAGTTTCCACAAGAACACGATGGATGGGATGGGGTCTGGCTGGACTCTCCGTTCTCTATGACCTTCAACCTCTCGTTGTCCCCTCCACTGCAGGGCTGTGAGCGCCTGCTCAGTCTGTCTCTAACCTGCAGCTGGCCCGCTGCACCTGCCTCTCTAACCAGGGAAGGCGGGGCAAAGGGTGCGGGAGCCATCGCTTCCTCCCGGCCAACAGCATGGGGCCAAAGAACCCTGCTCTCCCAGCTGCCCCTCCCCAGAGTGCTGGCCCCAACAGAATGGGTCCCCTTGGCCCTCGACTCCCGGAGACCTCATTCAGGGACAGAGTCTGAGTCCAGAAGAGCTGGGGTATAGCTGGGGTCTCAGAAGCAGGGAAGACAGGGGAGAGAAGCAGGATTTCAGAGCCCATGGGGTTATTGCTGAGAAGATATGCAAGGGGCACATTCCCCAAGGAGTAGAGTAGAAGCCCCGGGTCCAGGATCCCTGGCTGCTCTGCCACAGGGATCTGCCACTCTGTGCCGGAAGCCCCAAGAGGAAATGACCACAGACGGGGCAGAGCCTGCCTGGAGGCAAAACTGGGCTCACCGGCACCTTGCTGTCAACTTCCCATGGCCAAGAGACCCCAGAACAGACTCAGGTCGGGACTGGAATACAGAAGCTAGGCTCTTGTGAAGGCAGTGAGAGAGGCCATGGAGAATGATCACAAAGGTGATGTAAACCTTCCCAAGTCCCAAGACAATGGAAGACCCCCACCCATGCCCCCTACCCCCACCTACACCCACCCCTCAATCAAGAGAAGGGACTGGTCTCTCAAGGGAAAAAGCAGACTCCCAGGAGTAGGAGATGATGGGGCCAGGGCACAGGGGAGTAGGGAGGGGCCGGTGGCGGCATGGCTCAGCACCTGCCCAGGAAAGCAAGTCTGGGGTCACTAAAATACAACATCACCCACAAACAAGCAGCCACAGAGACCACAGTCATCAAACACACACACAGACACATCACAGGAGGTGGACGAGACCGCAGGCCACAGGCAGGGGAAGGTGGGTGTTCGTTGCATCACTAAGTTGTGGACCGTGTTCCGGGGACGGGGAGGGGGCAGTGGACACACACGTTCTTGGCTTCTCCTGGGGAAAGATCTGCTGCTGAAGTGGCCGGTGTTCTTAAGCATCAACATTGGCATCTAAAGGTTGGAGCAGCTCCCTTCGGGTTCCGGAGGCTAAGCGGGGGAGAGAATTTAAATTAAAACACCACTTGGGTTCCTTCCAGGAATCTTTACCGGCTGTCTCCCTGCCTTTAGCACAGCCCCTGTGCCCCCTGAGACCACAGGATGAGACCTACTCCGAGCACCACATTCCTGTTAACAAGTAGACTACGAGCCTGAAACACAGGGAAAGAAGGTGGAGGCAGGGGAGGGGATGGCCCTCAGGAGAGGGCTTCTCTCAGCAGGGGCTGGAACCTGGGAGACATGGAAAGAAAACTGTTAAACCCAGGGATTCTATGTCAGGACACTCCCAGGAGTGGCTCACAGTCCCGAGATCTAAGAGAACAAGGTTTCTGAGGTAGTTCAAGTTTAAAAAAAAAGAAAACAGGACAACTGCTAGCTCATGCCTCCCGCCCTTGAGCCTCCCCATACCACTCCCAAGATGGGACCTGCCAGCCACCACAAAGGGACAGAACACTGGTGCCTGGACGCCCACTCCAAGATTAGCATCTATGGCCACCTCGCGTGTGGGCAATCACTGACCTTTCTGAGCCCATCTAGAATAGAAGATGGACCTAATGAGCCCTGTTCTGCTCACCCGCAGGGCTGTCATGAGGATGTAAAAGCACTAAGTAAAAAATTCACATGCAAGTATGCTCTGTCATTGCACTCATGGTAAAAGCTGGTGTACCAGGCATTTCGGTACCAGAAATCTCTTCGCTGACAATTCAGGATGAGATCATAGACCTGTCTATTATGCTTTCCGTGAGGCAGACGCGAGTGGACAGGAGACCGACCTCCGCACTCCCCGGGCCCCAGCATATTCTAGAGAGTTCATCAAGTGACATGGGCACAGACACAGAGGGGCGTGGTGGAAATGGCTGGAAGCTAAAGGGCCTGACTTCAAGTCCCACCTGTCACTTGCAATCTGTCTGTCCTCGGTGACCTCTGTTTCTTTTATCAATAAAATGGGGCTCAACCCCACCTGTCCTGCTTCTTCCGGCAGGCTTGAGTGTGAGTGTGAGTGTGTTTTGTGAGTATGTTTTGAAAACTAAGGCATTTGATGGTTATGACTCTCCTGTGTCCCTACAATGAACAATGGAAGCAAACGCTAAGCGGAATGCCCGTGAAGAGGGCACATGGAGGTAGGAGGGGAGGGGATAATACACTGTTCTCCCTAGTTTTGTGTAGATCTTGAAAGTTTTATTATAAAATGTTAATTTTTTTAAAAAAGTGGCCCTAAGTTACTTTCTGAATCATCATTAAAAGCCATTATCTTTATGCTCCTTTGTATCGGGAGTATTTCACAAACTGTAATTTGCCCCCAAGTCCTGCCCATGTGGCAGCTAAGATGACACCCCATTATTTGACCACTGCATTCTGCAGAGGTCTTAGTTCCCAACTGTTTACTGTGCATGTGTGGGGTGTCTCCAATGTTCCCGTCCGTCTGTCTCACTGGCCTCCCAGCGTGGCTCCTAGTAAAAGTGGTCCCGCTGCTCTTCTCTGAGGAATGAGCAGTGACGGGGCCAGAGGAAGACACAGGCAGGCAGAATCTTACCTTCCTACCCGAGGGCTATACTTCAGTTCTCTGCTTTCTGGGGCTCCGTTGCTAGGGGGGAAAAAAATAGAACCAATTGTAGAGAATGGACACCTTGCCCTGCCCAGGGGGCATCCACACCTGTGCCTGATATGGGGGGCGTCTGACCCGCACAGTGGAGAGGCGACTTGGCAGGATGTGGGGTCAGACAGACCCACATCTTGCCCCACTCCTTGTTAGTTCTAGGAATTTGGCACATTCCTTAACCCTGCTGGGTCCCTCAGTTATAAAATGTGGATAGTGATGTCTACTCCAGCAGGCTGTGCGCCCATGAAGTGGGGTCTGCCCGACACAGAGCAGCTGCCCCATACACGGTGTCTGTCATAAGTCGCAGCCTGTTTGGTGGCAGTGAGGGAGCACAGCACAGCAGAGGCCCCAGGGACCTCCTTCCTGGCACGGACATGGGAGCACATCTGGTGAGCTCTAGGGAGGCCATGGTGTCGGGCAACCAGCCCTCCCTGAGGTATATGAGGACCCGCCCCAATTACTTCCACGCCACCCAGGCTGGTGGCCAGGACACGTACCATTCGCAGTGATGAGGTTCTCCACCTGGGCCTCTTCATCCCCCGGAGCCCTACAAGAGGAGAGACACAGCCCTCCCGTTAGAGGTCCGCAGGGCAAACCCGCTCTCCTGGCCGCGCATGGCTGTCTGCAACCGGCCCCTCCGAATCACTGCAGGGCTGGAGCTCTCTCCACCAAAAGGGTGAATGGGGCAGGGGGAGAAGTCAAGATTGCAGGGTGCAGGGTCAGGAGAACTCACCAGCACCCTTCGGTGTTGGCCCCCAAGACAGGTAAGTGCTGGGCAGGAGACACACTCCTAGGCCTGGGGGCTTGAAGTGTGTGTCCTGCCAGACTTCAGATTTCTGAGGTCCAGTGCTACCCCTGGTTTTTATAGTGGATTCATGGGGTATGCCCCTTTATGGGTGGGGAGGTGAATGATAGGGAACCCAAGCTTCTCCTTAGCCAAAGAGCCCCATGAACAGGTGACAAGCAGGGACAGTGTCCCAGGTCCTATAGAGAGGAGGACCTCACAAGAGGCTCTGAGGCCCTCTGCTTCCCTTCTCCATAGCCCAGCTGTCTCAAGGGCCTCCAGACAAGGGTCCAGCACCTTCTGGCCTCCCTCCCCTTCCCAGTGTATATCAGAAGAGAGGCGGGGCTAACCCTGGACATGTTGACCTCTCTTTTGCCCCAGGATATGCCTGGCAATCCTCAAAACATCTACTCCTTACACACATGGCCTCTTTCTGAGATAAGAACCCAAAAGAACACTCATTTGGGCCCCTCCCTGTCCCCTCCTAGTGTCATCCCCAGATGTCCACAGACACAGCATCCTTACCGGGGCTTCTGATTGAAACTGCACTTGCATCTGCGACCTGAAAGGCAAAGAAACCAGCCAAGGTCATGTTCCTGGCTGGAGCTCAAGGTCCTGCTCCTGGCTTGACCAGAGTGGGGCTGCCATGTGGGACCACATAAAAAGCACAGCTACGTGTAGCAATCTTCTGTTGGAGTAGGACTCTTCTGAGCCAAGGTTCAACATTCAATGGCTTTACTACCCTACCACAGTCGGCTGGATCAGACCGGGCTCCATGCAGCCCAGGCTCATATGGGAAAGACAAACACAGGGCACGTCCCCGCGGGGCACTCTGAGGACATTTCCCCACGTTTGCCTCCTGGACACAGCGCCGGGACAGCTACCCTGCCCCTTCTTATTGTCCGCTGGTTCTCATCAAGCATTTACTTTGTTCGTTCCTCACTGTTTTACTGAGCACTTACTATGTGCCCCACGCTGTATTCGGTCCTAGAGATAACAGGGAGAATGATAGTCTCCTTCCCGCTCCCCAGGGAGAGCATGGCCAGGCTCTGCCACAGTTCTCTACCTGCTTAGCAGCTCACAGACACCCCTCTTTCAGAGCGCACAGGGAACAGACAAACTTACTCAGGATAAGGAGAATCCCCACTGAGAAGAGCACCACGGCAAACACCAATCCCCCAATCCTCAGCGTCTGGTAGTCTGCCAAAGGAGCAAGGGGGAGAGATGGAAGGGAGGGAAGGCGGAAAGGAGCGTGGTTTGCCCTCCCCAGGGCGGGGCTGCACCTCCCCCTCCCTAACCACAGTTCCCATCACTGCTCACCATAATGAAAAGGGTCCTTTTCTTCCTCCTGCTCAGCTGCTGAAAAAGTAAACAAGCGTGGGCAAGAGAAAGACAGTGAGATCTCTGATTCCCGAGTCTCCCCCAAGGCTCACAAGACTCACTTCCCACTGAGGGATGCCTGGGGAGGACAGCCCATTAACCAGAGATGCCTGGGGGAGCACCGAGGGGTGGGCCTTCCTGCTAGGGCCAGCCTAAGAGCCGAAGGGGGTACTGTCAGAGGCCCAGTGAGCTTCTGCTTCTACAGCACATCACATCCTTCGTATTCTCACATCATCCCTCGAGGCAGCGTCTAGAACCCCCTTGTTACACGTGGGGAAGCTGAGAAAGGAGGAAAGACATGTGACTTGCCCAGGCCAGAATCTAGAGTAGGTCTGGCTCCCAAGGTTCAGGCCTGAAGTCTACAGGGACCTGGAGGACTGGAGGGCTTAAAGCAGAGCCTGCTGGGCCCCGTGGCGGACAGGTGGGCAGGCTTGTGTAGGGTCTGGGAATACCCGCTGCCTTCCAGCACCTTCTCTGCCGACTAAAGTGGGGACAGGGGAGTCACTTATCAGCCACACAGAATGTGAGATCCCCCCAGCCCTACGGTCCCAAAGGGCCAGGACCTGGAAGGGTACTTACCACTGGCCAGGATGGTGGGAGCCAGCAGGCTGCATAGAAAGATCAGCACCGCCTCCATGGTGTCTGTGGGCGGAGGAGGGAACGTCATTCTCTGCACAGGAGACTCCCCACCCACCCCCCAGCCTGATGTGGGGGCTGAGTCAGGCTCCCAGCTCTGAGTACTCTCTACGCGGTGAGAGTTCAGGCAATTGAGCCGAAGTCGAGCGTTCACAGAGACAGTTCTGCGTACAGGAGCTCAGCGACTGTGACGGAATCCAGCGCCGTCAGCAGGCACAACGACTGACCCATTCTGCAGGTAAAGAACCTGAGCCTGAAGAGGTTTAAACGACACCTGTGGGAGTGAGCAGCAGAGGCCCAGTCCTCGCCCAGCTCAGGAAGGCCTCCACCACAACGCCTCTCCTATATGGAAGCCAGAAGACCCTAAGGGCTTTGGAAATGACCCCAGCGGCGCCCTCCTCCCCAGGCCACCCTCCTGTGGCCATCCCCAGTTCACTAAGACGTCTGGGACTTCCTGGCCCAGTTCCCCACAGGCACGTCCACCGGCAGAGTCGTTCTTCCATAAGATGAAGTGGCGCAGGTAAGCGGAGGTCTCCCTAGTCCAGCCAGCCACGTGGGGCGGGAGTCTTGCTGCTCACTGGTCTCCAGATGGGAAACCCTGAAATGCTGACAGCTGTCCCTTCAGTGACGCCTGACACCCTCACCTTGACCGGGCCCGAGCCAACTCCTCCCACAGGCTTTAGTTCACGGTCCTCCAGAAAGGCGGTTTGGTCAAACCAAGGCAGCACGGACACTGGCTCTCGGAGCCTCAGTGCCCTGACCTCTTCCCTTCCCTGGACTTCTGCTCATGAACTCATTAAGGCCCTGTCCCCGGAGCCAAGGACCCCAGGATAGGCCATCTGGATGGAGGCAGAAGGTGGCCAGGTGGTCCCTTCCAGGGACAGATTTCAGTGGAGTTACACATACCTCCTGCCGGGGCGTAAGGAACTGCGGTGATGAGCCAGCAAGGAAAAGCAGGGAAAAAACCCAAACCAGGAAAGCACGAGGCTGTCTTCCCTTTATCCAGGGGGTGACACTGGCAGTGGCCTGACCCCTGGACCAGTACGGAGTGGCCAGGACCATGCTTGCTCTGAAGGATCCTCCCTCTGACGTTCCCCACCCCAAGCGAGCAGCCCCGGGTGCCCTGCCCCTCTCAGCCACCAGAGGTCACAACAGCCACATCCAGAGCCCCGCGGAGGCCCAGCCGTGGACGGGGGAGGCCGCTTGGGAAGTGTGTATCAAAAGGCAGTAACTGGCTTCTAATGCCATCTCACCTAATATTGGTAATTCTTTGCAATTTTACATACCTTATATGTATAAAAATGGAGGTAGCACACACATATAACGAAGCACAGCAACAAGATCAACACCCATAATGCAAGAACGGGACCTTCACTGACACCTGCAACAGCACACCTGTACTTTCCTCCAGCCTAACCCCCGGCCTCACTCCCACAGGGGAACAGCACCCTGGACAGCAGACACCCATACCTGTGTCATCACTCCCTTGTTGTTCTTCAAAGACCTTTCTTTTTAAAGATTTCTTTCTTTCTTTCTTTATTGGAGAGAGAGAGAAAGCACGTGAGCAGGGGGAGGGGCAGAGGGAGAGGGAGGGAGGATCTCTAGCAGATTCCCTGCTGAGCCCTATGCAGGGCTCCATCCCGGGACCCGGAGACCATGACCTGAGCCGAAACCAAAAGCAGGACACTGACTGAGCCACCCAGGTGTCCCAAAGACATTTTTTTAAATTAACATGTAATTCACATACCATGAAACTCATTTAAAAGTGTACATCCAGCACTTTTGGGTATCTCCACAAAACTGTGCACCCACCATCGCTAATTCCAGAACACATTCATCACCCTGAAAAGAAACCCTGTCCCTGCCAGTCACTCCCATTCTGCCCTCCCCACCTCCCACCCCAGGCTCGGACAACCCCTGATCTACTTTCTGTCCCTGTGGATTCGCCTGTTCTAGACACTTTATGTAAAAGAATTGTCCAATATGTGCCCTTTGGTATCTGGCGTCTTTCACGGAGGAGCACGTTTTCAAGGTTCATCCGTGTCAGGCGTCAGAACGTCACTCCTTTTTACGGCTACTATTTCAGCATATGGCTGACCCTCCTGCTCTTCTTCTTAAAAACCTATTTATTATGCAAGAAATAAAATGGTGTTTAATGGAGCTTTTTTTAGCTTTGTAATTACGACATGTTGTTGTTTACAGGGACTGGCTATTTTTGGTTCACGTGATGTTTCTAAGTTTCATCCACTGTGACGTGACCATAGCTCATGCGTTTCTGAAGTCGTGCAGTATCCCATCATGCAGATTAATTATTCTGTCCATGCTCCCACCAGTGGATATTTTTTTGTTTTTCCTATTTTGTGTGATTGTAAATAATGCAGCTGTGAACACTTTCTATATGCTACCCAGGGCACACATGCAAGGCACTGTTTTTCAAATTTTTTGCCATCACTTTCATATGAAATACTTTTTAAAAAAGATTTTATTTGACAGAGAGAGACACAGCAAGAGAAGGAACACAAGCAGGGGAGTGAGAGAGGGAGAAGCAGGCTTCCCATGGAGTAGGGAGCCCAATGCGGGGCTCAATTCCAGGACCCTGAGATCATGACCTGACCCGAAGGTAGAGGCTTAACCCACTGAGCCACACCAGGCGGCCCTATAGTTTCCCTTCTTAAAATAAAATGGCTAGACCCATGAATGGGTCACTGTGCAGTAGAAAATGCATGTTCTAGAGACAGGCTGAGGAGTGAGGTCACTGAGCTGTACAGTAGACAAACTGTCCACCTTACAGAATACTTGCAAACTTTTTTCCAAAATGACCATGTCTGTTTCCACAACCCACCAGCTGCAGGACTGTCCCTATTTCCCTGCATCCCTAACAATATTTGGCATTGCCAGACTGATTAATTTCCGCCAATTGAGAGGTGCAAAGTGAGGTCTTCATTTGATCCCTTAGTGATGGAGTTGGGAGTCTGTTTATTTGCCATTCCTGTTTCTTCATCAGCGATGGCTTTCATGACATTGGCTCCTTTTTTTCAAGTGGGTTAACATGATTAGTATACTATCCATTTATTATTCTGGATATGAAATCTTTGTCATTAAGTACTGCAAATGTCTCTTCCCAATTAGTGGTTTGACTAATCTTTTTCATCTTTTGTTACTGTCATGTCATGACCAGAATGTCTTAATCCTAATGTAATTGAATGTGATGATTTTTTGATGCATCTGGTGGAAGATAATCTTTGCCCAAGTCAGAAGGAATTTTCTTCTGGACATTTTACAGCTTTGCCTTTGACACTGAAATCTTTATTCCACCCAGAATTGGTGTTCATGTAAGGCAGGAGGTGGGGATCTAATTTTTTTTTTTTTTTTTAAGCAGGGGATTTCCAGGTTTGGTTGCTTGTTTATTTGTTTCCTTTTTTTAAAAAAATATTTTATTTATTTATTTGACAGATAGTGATCACAAGTAGGCAGAGAAGCAGGCAGAGAGGGTGGGGAGTGGGGGTGGGGGGAAGCAGGCTCCCCGCTGAACAGAGATCCCGATGTGGAGCTTGATCCCAGGACCCTGAGATCATGACCTGGACCGAAGGCAGAGGCTTTAACCCACTGAGCCACCCAGGCGCCCCGGTGGGGATCTAATTTTTACTAGCTGTCCTGGCACTATGTGTTGGCAACCCATCCCCTCTTTCCTCTGGAATGGTCCTGCTGCTTCCATCATATACCCGGTTTCTACTCAGGTGTGTCTGTTTCTGCGACTCCTTTTTTGATCTGTTGGTCCATTTGTTGGCTCCAGCGTCAGAATCAGTGTCTCAGCTGGTACAGCCTGATAGTAATCTTCCCATGTGGTAGAAGAAATTCCCCTCTTCATTTTCTTCTTTCTTCTCTTTCTCTTCCATCAGGAATATCCTCCCTATTTTTGGTCTTTTGCTCTTACATAGAAATTTTAGAATCAGCCTGTCAAATTCATCTAACACGACTGAGGATCTCATTGCAAGATATCTGTGTGTAGAACCACCCGAGGAGAACCGGTATTCGTGTAATCTTGAGTCTCTTTTCCATAAAAACATCTTTTCATTGGTTTACGTCCTTTTTAATGTCTTATAATGGTTTTATAAATGCTTCCACATCGGTCTTTCTCATCTTCTATTAGATTTCTCCCTGGGTGCCATATTATTCTTATTGCTATTTTAAATGCTATCCTTTGTGTGTGTTTTCTAACTTTTGCTAGTACAGAGAAAGGCAATTGATTTGTACGTATTGATCTTAAATCCAATCTCACTAAATTCTCTTAATATTTCTAATAATTTACCTGTGGATTCCTTTGGGTTTTCTCTGTGGACACATCACCAGTAAATGACAGTACTGTCTCCTCTTTGCTGATGCTTACCTTTTGTTGATTTTTATTTCTTGTCTTATGTCCTGCCAGGCCTTTCCGTAAAATGTAGACTAGAAGCAGGAGTACTGGACACGCACACATGCAGTCATGTTAGTGGTTTTACTTTTTACTTGTATTTCATTTTTGTGTGTATTTTTAGTTTTTCCCAACCTTACTGTGATGTGACACCTAACAATATGTTAGGTTTAAGGTGTGATGATTCATTTGATGCTTGTTTATGCTGCAAAATATTGCCACAATAAGATTAGTTAACGCCTCTACCACCTTACATAATTACCTTTTGTGTGCATGGTGAGGAACAACAAAGAAAATGTGGCCTAAATACAACGAAATATTGTTCAGCCATCAGAAGGGAATTATGGATTTTAAATAGATTTCTTCTAATGTTTTATAAGTTCCCCCTCTAATCCTGGTTTTCTAAGATGTTTCTGTTTTACATTATTTACGAATGAGTGTTCTACATCTACAGATTTGACCTTTAATCTATCAATGAAAGAAATTATGTGCGTGGATTATCTAATGTCAAATCACCCTTGCATTGCTGGGATAAAACCAATGTATTGTCTTCTTGGTAACCTGATGGTTTTGGTTCGCTGAGCTTTTGTTTAGG